ACTATTTGATAGTAAATAACTTGTGTAATGAATCTAAGCACAACATTATGGAATTGTTTTTATAACAAATATTTTGCGCTTAAACTTATAACCATATTATGTTTTTAAATGTCTACTATAGATTTTTTTATTGTTTATATTAATTTTCTTTATGAAAGTTATTATGTGCTCGTAAAAAATAAAAATGTAACATTGGGAATTATGAAAATAGTTATATCTCAATTAATAGATTAAGATATCCAGACGTTTTTTCAGTTATCTTTGTTACATACAATAATTTCACATCGGAAAGGTTTTAAGCTTATGCAAATTCTTTAAGTTAAGTAGTGAATAATGTCCATAAAAATAAAATAATTTCGTAAAATCGTACTCGTGTTTTCATTATATAGGAACTAATAATAGTATATTTTATGAAAGCTATTTTGAGCCTATATACTTATTATATTATTTATGTTCTCTGCAACTGAAAAAATATTGCAATTTTATCTATATTATCATGTGTTAATATAATTTGATGTACATCAAAGAGTCATAATTAACCGGTTTAATTTGTTTAAGGTGAATCGTGATTCATGCTTATTAGTTGTGAGTGTTTTGAATCGTAAGTACGCTGGAATTATGCCAAAACGTTTCAAAATTTCTTAACACGTTCGCGGCCACTTCCTTCCGTTCGAATAATTTATTTGCTATAGACCCGTTAAGTCGCAAGAGTTTCCGACTGAGTGTTAATTTTTGTGCAATCCCTCATAAGTTCATCCGGTTTTAAATTCGTTGTATTTATTGATTATTAATCAATTCATTCGATTAAAATTTCATCAAAAAACCTAAATTCTGGAAACCAAAATCATAAATGCACATTCTTTCGAAGTATAAAATTATTTTTTAATTATGTGTTTATTTTCGATTTTAATTCATTTTATCTCAATCATTAATATTTGCGCGTTAAATAGCCTGTAGTAAATTTAATACTGTTTTATATGACTACTTTGTGGAAGTTATGAATTGAATATTAATTTGTTTCAACCTTGTACCAGCAAAGAAAAAAAATTATGAATAAATACTGATTTAAATTATTTACAAATTCATATCAATTGTTAACATCATATGTTAGACAAGGATCGATAAATTGTTAGTCTTGCGTATTTTAACATAGGTAACTCAACATTTCGTATAATTAATCATAAGTTAAAATACGTGTAAATGTGTTTAAATGACTTGGACAACCCGTACTATTCATTTTAAAGCTATTGTTACTAATTCAAAATTAAAAATCTGTTAACATTAAAGTTCATATATTTTATTATATTATTCAATACCTGGGCTGAGTTCTTTATTACAGTTAATTTACATCATAAGATTATAATATTTTATGATTTATAATCATATTATATAAGAACTGTAAGACTTTACTTTTACGTGTGTGTGTGTCTGTTTGTGTCTGTAGGAAATATTGGTTGATCTTTATACTTGCTGTATTAATACTTGTAGTTTTTCAAAATCATTCTTAGGGGCCAACAGTTTTTTTCGTGTTACGCAATCGACTTAATGAATATTGTACAATTCAATTATTGTAGTAGGTACACACGATGTAACTTGCACATACATTATTTAGTTTTGCCAGTACCGTCGCTAGCCGATTACTTACACGTTAATTATTTTTCTACTTGCTATGAATAATACACATTCGGAGATTTTTGCGTTACGGAAGATTCTCACAACTGCAGAACGCAACAACAATGATGTTCACTTGACCGTGGCAGTAGGAATGAACCTTAGTCGTTCTGTTCTACCGAGTACACGTGCCTATACAGTGTGTACATTATGTGCATTAAAACGGCTATTATATTATTATTATTATTATTATTATTATTATCATTATTTTTATCATCATCATCATCATCATCATCATTATCCAACTGAGCAAATATACTTAGACGACAATAATTATAGCAATATGAATATAAACGTATGTATATTGTCCTCCCACAAAGTATGCACTGCTATATTCTTTATACCCGCCATTCAACCTTTGTATTACTCTGTTGTACCTACCAAAAGAATAATAGTGTGTCTTGTGTGTTTGTATAGCGGTCGACAACTTTTATTTTTTACAATACCTGCTCACTGCAGTGTTTTTTATACCTCCTCACCTCCTTATCAACATGCCCGGTAAAACGTTAAGATTTGTTGTCACTATGTAGCCGTTTTCCTTATCTCTCCCTTACACATAATATTGTAAACCCGCCTAATGGGTGTGAACGCGTCATGTACACATACACGTCAAGAATAATACAACAATGTATTAATATTTTATATACCTAGTGGAAAATAAAACGTATTACGTCGAAAAACTACAAAAAATTGAATTGCCTGTATGATGATTATTAGAAAAAAACGAAAAACCATCTTGTTTTCCATTTTCATCGTCCGTTCTGGTTTTTATATCTAGACCGCAGATCTTCGCGGTTTTCTGATTCTATGGCCTTCATAGGTTACAAGTTTTTTCCTCGTTGCCATTTGTTCCGCTTGCCGACTACGTAAATTACTCGACGGCGGCATATGCGCACTAATTTTCCCGCACTACGATCGTCGTCATCACACCAACGTCGTGTTCGTTAAAATAATAAAATATTTTCAGTATTAATACTGCTACCCTATCCTCGGTCGGCACGCTATCGAAGCAAATCTCTTACCTACTAATAAAACAATTAATTTCCCTTAAACGTTTTTTTTCTTTTGATTCAAAACCAACTTATTCGATTTTCTCTCAACAATACACTGCCGCGGCTGTATCTCTCCCCTCTCCTATTTCTCTCGTATCACAACCCATTCGACCATGGAAAATTCCACCACGGCAAAATACTACTAAAACATTCGCGTACACGTACGACGCAGTATATTACTCGAGCACGCAGCTTTTTCATTCTCTTGGCTTCAGACACAATACACAACAATCGTCTTTAACCGGTTTCAGTTCCTAGAATTCTCTTTGCCGCCGCTGTACGCCTGCACGCCATCACTATAGCACAGTGGTGACGGCGGCGGCCCGGCAGCACATGATTATATTATTATTCCAATGTACACCGCGTCGAGTAAACTCGGGGACCTTCTCTGTGTACGCAACTTATAGGCAGGAACATAATAATAATAATAATAATAATAATAATGTAATATAATGGCGCTGTGATTATTTCGTTCCTGTGGCGTTCGAAATCGATTCACTCTGCACACAACAGAACATTGGTGCTCAACTATATTCTCAAAGATTTGAGTGCGAAACAAAATGTAAAATTAAACCACCAAAACCTATGTGTTTTTTTCTTAACTAATAGTGTGCGAGACAAGTCCTATTCTGCAGGAGCTTGAACAACCTTAATATATAATGTAACCATATATTTTTAAACGATTCTGTCGACTGCAATAATTTTGCATTTGGTTTTCACACGATAAAAAGTTAGTTTACATTATTTGCATACTGAGACCGTCGGCCATGCCTACACGTATGTACCCACCGAGGCTGATGGTTCCGGCAATTACTGCGAAATATATTCCGGCCGATATATCTCTGTGTTGACCACCGGTATAAAATGTTTAATGAATATTCATATTCATGTTATATATATTTATTCAGTTTAACGAATAGTTAATAGTTCAACATCTGCCCTGTTATTACAATATATCCGATGTGTAAAACCTATAAATAATAAATCCTTATGAATCATTTATTTTTTCCTCCTTCTACGCCCATCATTTTTTCTTTCATTCACATTCCTTATATATTATATTATAATTAATTTATTTATTACAAAAATAATATCCTTGTATATAATTTTATTTTTCTCATGCAAATGTCTGTCTGCCTGTGTGCGTAGTTTACGAGGTCTCTCGAGAATTTCTGTTGGGCTAGGTCGTGTGCGTAGAGGAGATACCCATCTCCAGCAATGAATAATACGCACACACGCGCAATTTATTTATAAATGTGAAACAAAAAAAAAAAATAAAATTCAGTGCATTGGCGACTCGTATAATAAATAAAATATGTCATTTATTATTTTCTATTCGTCGTGCGCGCGTTACCTATGACGTGTATACGCGTGAAAACTCGTTGGCGACTGTTGCGAAACACGAACGACCTTGATGCAAGATACGCCGTCGAGTGATTTTTCTTTGGAAAAAAAAATACTCATCTATTATACTATTGTATACAGTATATTTATACGTATTTACACTTATCGTCCGGTTACATTAGATGTTGCCTTGTATAGGCGTTCGATAAACGCATGTTGGTTCATCGGTTGGTTTATTATACTTGCGTTGTTACAATTGTTATGTGTAATACTCGCCGACTCGTCCCTCGGAATAATACACCGGCAAGAAAAATATTATGTCATACGGGCGATTTGTACACGGAAAAATAATGTAGGGCCTCCCGGTGTGTTGATTGTCGAATATATATATATTATATTAAATTTTATCATATTATACAGTATATATATATGTACTGCGGGCTAGTCTTGTTGTTGTTGATTATTGTTTATAACTTAGGAAATACGATGGATCCGAAAACGCTGCGCAGTAACCTCACCGATGTTAATAATTATTATTATTATAATATTAATGAACTCGAGGACAATAACCCCCGCACCCGAGAACTATTACGATGTATATTATTATAAATACTTACCTACACACACTTATTTCATATATGTGTGCGTGTATCTGATAAATTTTGGAGGGAAAAAAACGTGATGGTATAATAATAATGTGTACGTTTTCGATGAAGGTCACTGGGTTCGACCATTCCGCGGTAGCCCCAATACCGCGGCGGCAGCAACTGCACCGTTTCCCAAAACAGGTTTTCGGGTTCTGTTTACTTCCTTTAATCCCGATTCCCCTCCCCGGGAACCTTTCCCTCACGTCTTAACTAATCACCAGATGAAAACAACGAAAGTATATAAATAGATAATTTATGTACATGTTTTTATTTATTTTTATTCTAGTTAAAGAAGAGTTGTCTCCTCCCAACAGTCTGTCTAGTGTCAGCAGTCATTCTGACGGATTGAAAAAGAAAAAACTCAACCACGCTCCCGTGAACAGTGGTGGCGTGAACACCACAGGTCCTGGCGGATTAGGAGGAGCTGTACTGAACAATCGACCCGCCGAAGAGCTATGCTTGGTGTGCGGCGACCGATCGTCCGGTTACCATTATAATGCCCTCACGTGCGAAGGATGCAAAGGATTCTTTCGGAGGAGCATTACCAAAAACGCAGTGTACCAATGCAAATATGGCAACAACTGCGAGATCGACATGTACATGAGACGAAAATGTCAAGAGTGTCGATTGAAAAAATGTCTTACCGTCGGGATGAGACCCGAATGTAAGTATCATTTAGTTTATAAATAAATAAATACCGTCAAGATTTTCTTCATTTCATTGCGCTATATAATTGAATAATATAATAAAAAGTCTTCTTGAATAATAAACATTTCCACTTTACTTATTTTCCTCAAGTTATTTAATTTCAAAATGTTAACGCAATTCCGTTCATTAAATACGCATGTCTTATTCTGAAATTTAGTTTTAGGAACATGATTTATGGCGTTGGAAAAGTCGTGCCCATGTTTGATAATAAAGAGTTCCTCAGTCCATAAATTGTTATATTTTTTTGATAAATTTATGCCAGAAACTGTATAGGAATAAAATATGAGTGCATATAATATCATTAAAAAGTACGCTCATATTTCTTAAGATATTAATAAAACGAAAATAAGTAACCATATATTTTACTAGAAAAAGTAATAATAGATTATTTAAACATATTATTTTCAAAGAATATATTTTTTCCATAATACAGCTCAAAAAATTTCGTATAATTATAAAAATATGTAATCAAAAGTACTTCTCCGTGATTGGTGCAGTACATTAACTATACACCATAACTTATATCAACATTAATAATTAACATATTCATTAAAATCATCAGTATTTTTCTCTACGCATACACACGTTTAACGTGCTATACCGAATTTTTTTTTAATATTTTTGCAATTATAAATTGGTACTCTATTTTTCGTTCCTTACAATTTACGTCGATTCTTTATTTTGTATTAATGTCAGAGGCAACTTTGATTTTTTACTCAGAGGAGCCGATATAATTTGATGTTAGTATATAAACACATATATATATATATGTATGTGAAATCACGCATTTACATGCTTCTATACATAATTTATATACTTTTCTTATACCCAAACTCCATGAATAAGTATTATTATAAGTACACACAATTTCACTTGTCAAGTGTCATATAAAATTTAAAAATTATCACAGTAAAATATAATTAAAGATACATATACCTTCACAGTTGATTATTTCTTGACAGAACACCAAAGCTCAGTTTAGATAAAATACTCGTATGATATACTCATTAAGACGCGCGGCCGATCACGGATTTCTAAAACGCAATTTTAAAACAGCCGCAAGAGACGCACTGCTCATATTTTTCATACAAAATAAAATATTATTTATTAGAGCCCTTCTTCAGTTGTTTTTCTACGTTTCAACAGTCAACAGTGTATTGTTAATTATTAATTTTATTGTGTATAGTGAATACCTAAAATATTATATACAGTGCAGTGTAGGACGTAGATATCATGTCACTTATCTGCAGAAAAAGAAGACACTTATTAAACTTCTTCTTTTAGAAGAAATAGATGACGAAGAATTACTTATCAAATTTATGTTTAAAATAAACCAGAATTTCCATGATATGTTTCAAACTAGAAAATCTGAAGGTTTTTTTCAGTGTTTTAATTGAGAAACATTTATTCCGTGATCAAAGAAAATTCAGAGTTTTTTAGATTTAGTTATGATCAATTCACATATATTTTAAATCTAATAGAAGATGATATAAAATGTAATGCGTATAATAGACATTACATTACATCTTCTTCGTACGAAAAAATTAATTTTGATGACATATTGTAGAAAAAGAAGCTAATAATTATAATTATTAATTAAATAATAATATATTTGCATATACTGGCCGCGCGTCTATTGACGCAGGCGACTGTCACGCGCGTCTGCGGCGATCTAGGAAATCTGTTTCTATTTAAAAATAAGTAAAGTAGTATCGGTGCATCCAAAATCTCGGCCGCACCGCGGCAGCCGCGTTGACCGCGCGTCTACAGACGCGTCCTAAGGAATCTCATCTTAACTAGATACACGTTTAATACCTATCAACATGTCAAAATAATACATACGGGTAATGATTGTTTTGTGAAATTACCCGTTTACGACTGTAGTAGATTTGAGATAATTTCTAACTGATCAAAAAATGCCTGTGGGGAGGGGGGGCATTGTCCCTATGGCCCCTCTCTAAACAACGCAACTGTTATATGTGCAGATATCTTACGTATCGAGTCCACCACAAAAGTCACTGAGGTGTTTATATCATTAACCGCAATATTATAATATCGTTGCATATAATAAAAGTTATTTGTAATTTACCGTCGATGACTTAACACAACGCTTAGCACGTACGAACGCTCGCGTACAATACAAGTATATAGCAGCGTGAATACATTATTATAATCGTTTATTATGCCAAGTCCGCAATATCGTGAGTGAGTGTGTGCGTGTACAAATACGTTTATTATACGCGGAGCAGCGATAGCGAATTTAAATAACATAATGATGACGGAAAATCGAACTTGACCAAATCCCCGCTCGCGCTTGATAATAGGACGTAGTATATAGCGACTATTATACAGTATACAACCTTGACCGGTTAATACGACTTGGTATACACACACACACACACGCACATATATATACATAATTTTGTTGGTAATATGTAGCGAGCTTTTTTTTCTTTTTAGGTACGTTGACCTTTTTACGCCACTATTACTATTATTATTATTACTATTGCGGCAGAAACATGTATATTTATGTTATGTTTATATATAGACACACATTATATATATATATATATATATATATATATATATGTGTGTGTGTGTGTGTGTGTATTTTATACGCCAAGCGATCGATGCACCGTCTTCGTCGTCGAGGGCACTTTTACTTGATTTCGCACCGCATACTAAATTACGGTGGGTCTTGAATATATGTATGTATTCGTGAATAATAAATGAATTTATTGTATAGCGGTGACCCCGTCCCCGTCCCTGTTATACATGGGGAGGAATCATGTAGGTTATATTAAAAAATCGAAAACGGTCTTTAACAACTATAGCGCATGATCGATTAATTGTGCTTTACAAAATACATATTTATGTACAAAGTACATATTATTATAAACCTTACCCGAATTTATATGTGTACTATTCAGGGTAATGATGCCCTTCCTCATACTACGCGTATACGATTTAATACTATTATTTTATATAATTGCGTTATACACACACACACATCTCTATGTTCACGTCGTGCGTATATAACATTATTGTCGTTCAATTTGGTATAACATGCATTGGTCTTTATGTGTCATATGTTTGGTTTTTATTGAGTTCTAGACCAACAGACTTGTAACTACTACCCAAGTCGTCGTGTCCCGGATGCCGTGCGTATATCGCTTTATTACGTTATTTTAAAATGTCTGATAAATATCGATGAAATGTTTGTACTCAAAACTGCTTATGAACCCTTTTAACATAATCCCTATTTCGAGACATGGAATAATAATATAAAATATTATTCTTCGCAACATTTGTGTGAGGTGTAAAACAATACTCTCGTGCAGTATTTCTTAAAATATTTTTGATCACTGGATACCAAAAAATAATATTTTTTTATGCGAAACCCCTATGAAAATTATTTTCAAAAAAATAAGGTAAACAAAATATGTCAATAAATGGCAACATAAACAATACACTAAAATACTAAGTAGGTGCAGAAAAATAAAATGAAATTATTTATAAGATATCACTGTATTTAAGAAGTAACATATTTGATATTAATAACAGGAAAAATAATAATAAAATTGGTATGAATTAGTGCATACATTTTAATGGGATAGATGAGCTTAAATGTGACAGCATATATTATCGATATTTAGCGTAAGATTTGTTAATGAAAGTCAGTGTCCGCGTTAAAGTCAACCTATTTCGATATTTAGACTTGGTTGTAGTGACTGCACAGGTTTCACGTAAGTACTTTGAAATAAAAGGAAGTAATGCCTTTTCATTTAACATATCATATTCTTACTGCACTGCACGACGTTCCGACACTCGAACAAAACGCACAGTATCGTAAGCATAGAAAGGGTAATCACAAAGCACAGTCAAAGACGATTGTATGAAACCAAACCGTAATTTAATGTCATAATTACATGGGCACGTACCGCATCAGGGGCGTATTTTAGGGGGGCGAAGGGGACTATTGCCCCCCTTTGAATCCGTATTTAAGGAATCGATCATATGTGAGAAAAACATTTTTAATTTTTTAATATGGATCATTTTATAACGTTATAAGTATAACGTTTATATTTACAAAAAGCGATTGAAATTGATAACAGAAACGAAAAACGACTAAAATTAATGTAGAATAACGTAACAGAAAACGATTAACGATTGAAACATAAAAGAAATTGCCATGGAAAAATATTTTTAACTATCAGTAAAATAGATTTGGAACATTATTTTTGTTATTTTTGTAAAAATTTACTTAAATTACTAGGTAATCTAAATAAAATATATATAAAAAGGATGTTTAAAAAACACCAATAAATGTATTAACTAATAATATATAGATAAGCATTACCAATTATAATTTATAAATATGCTTTGTGAAAATACGTTGAATATTATTGGCGCGAAACTCATATGGTCTGCCTCATTAAAAATAATTTCGGTGAACACCAATGAAACATTAGTAGTAATACACCATACATAAGTTATAAATTGGCAATAAATACATATTTTACATGGTATGTGCATTTTATTGAACAAATTTGAACAAATATGATTGCTTTATTTATAAGTTATGAGTTATGAGAATTACAAAAAAAAAAATTTCGTTAACAGCAGTGGTGTATTGGTACGGGGCATGGCCGTTTTCGACCAAAACCGTACCCTTCCCTTTTCGACCAAAACAAAAATTTATGTAATAAATTTAAAATAATAAAGTAATTATGTACATTTTTTGTCAATAATTATTAAAATATTAATATAAAGGAGAACGATATTTTGTATCTAATTTTGATCTCTTATCATAATGAAAATTGTTTGCATTTTTTTTCCCGGAAAATCGGAATTTTAATTTTAAAAATTTTAGATCTTCGTTCATTTCGCCTGCCGGATCAATTCACCAACTCGAGTGTCACTGCGTGGCACTTTTCGGGGGGATGGGGCTTCGTCCCAAAGGGAATTATAGTCTAAGCCTAAACTAATTTTTATACAAACCTTGATACTGTTACAAATGGGATTATGCTATGTATGTGAATCTAAAACCTCGCTACGTGAATAAAACCCTTAATCGTCAATAATATATTATAGTAGTTTCCATCATAATCAAACATTGCATATCATTATTTTATTATTTTAAATTTATTATATAAATTTTTGTTTTGGTCGAGAAGGGAAGGGTACATTTTTGGACGTAAACGAACTCGCCCTTGGTACGTATACGCGGGTATACGGCGTATTCACATCAGCAGATTTTCGATTTTAGGCATATACCTAATGTAAAATATTATTTTACAGGTATACGCTTCTTAAATAACTCGAAAACAAAATAATAAATAATAATTTAATATTTCATTGGAAAAAATTATTATGAACCATAAGATTGATTGAAATATTTAGGTGTTGAAGATTACAGTGAACTTTGTGTTTAATGTATTTTGTTAACTGTAGTGAATAACATTGAATAAAATAGTATGGAGTGTGAACATTCAGCCAATGATTCTTAATTTGTAACGCGTTGTAAATGTGTATCTTGTGGTATTATATTTTATAGTGTTATTAGAAGTTATAAACATGTAGTTACAAAGGATTAATTAAATTTTTTCGAACGTATCGAGAGAAAACAATTGTCGAACGAAGCAAGAAAATTTATTTTAGGATTAATATCCATATTTTTTTAGTGTGTATACTCACAAATATATTTACCAATACACCACTGGTTAAAGGTAATATATATAATATAATATTTAAAATATGTAATGTTATTTTACATAGTATTGATTGCTAAATACTACATTTGAAAACGTTTCAAATTTTACACTAATTTAAATAACGCAAAACGCTAAATTGTTCATAACGTTTTTATTGTCATTAATGATAAACAGAACATTTTTTAAACATTTAAATTTGTATAACGTTTAAACGCTTAAATTGAATAACGTTTAAATTATTTATAGCGCAATTTAAATCTCAATTGCTTATAACGTTTAAATGTCCCATAGCGGTAAACAAAATAAATTATTTTCATATTAGCCCTAGTCCATACTTAGTGAAAAATAAAATAAAACACAAGCGAAACTTTCAAAATACCGATGGGTGTTAAAAAATAACTACACTGAAGTCCATTCTAAGTGGATCCGGCATTTCCGGCATTAGATTAAAAATAAATAAACCCCCCCCCCTAGGAGTAAGTCTAAATACGTCTCTGTACCACTTACTAATTTTTCGTTGTCGACGGTAGTTTTCGATCATTCTCATATTGTAAAAAACTTGACGGTATATTATTATTAATTGTACATTACATACTGTAATTGATTATTTTGTAATATTAAATATAATAATATTTTATAAATATGCACGCCTAATACGACTTTTTCCCTCTAGCCACCTCTGATTTTTTCAAGTAAACTTTTTTGAATATTTTGAAAAAAAGCACTGGAGTTTCACGAAACATTAATTAAGAAACATCGCTCTAATGCAGTGGTTCTCAACTTTATTTTGTTCACGGTACACTCATACACTGGACAACAACAAAACTTTAGCTTTTTTTTTACACCAAATCCAGTAGGGTTAAAACCGTGCAGTGTATACTATACATTTTATCTGCATATATATCTGCACAATTAATTTACATTTAACTGTCATAGTTTTATCAATCGGCCATTTTCGAACAATAGTTTGCCGCGGCACACCGGTTGAGAACCACTGCTCTAATGTTACAATATAAATAATAATATTAAAAATACATTATTAAATAATAATATTTTATTTATCTTTCTTTAAAATTAAATTACCAAGAACAACAGGGTCCAAAATGTTTATTTTGTTTTTACTATAATATATATTATAGTGAAACTACGACATTCGGTCCAATAATTATTTATTACCTACTAAGTTATCGGTTAAAAAATAATATTAATTATGCGTTGGACTTCAAGTGTAGAGGGTATCCTCACCTACATGTCTAACATTTATAATTAGATGTTTAGATAATCAGACATTGTGCCTTAGAGTTAAGCTTGAAGTCCATGACTTAAATAAGCAGCTTGATATTTATCAAATAAATCATTATTAATTATTAAACAATTTTGTTACGTCTTACATTACGCTAAACATAACATTTTTTTTTTCTTTTTTTTTTTTAATAAATAATAAATTTTTTACCTAACGACTATCCCTCAAAATATAAATACCAATTCATTTAAAAAAAAATACCAAAGATCTCGATACATTTCAACTTCTATAGTAAAATTGTTGAATATAACAATTTTATTTTTCACAGGTGTTGTACCAGAAGTCCAATGCGCCGTAAAAAGAAAGGAGAAAAAAGCTCAACGAGAAAAAGATAAACCTAACTCTACTACTGATGTTTCTCCTGAAATCGTCAAAATAGAACCTACAGAGATGAAGGTAAGTCCAATCGTTTTGATCCCATCTGATGTTGAATAATGTTGTATGTTTTTACTTAGATTGAATGTGGTGAACCAATGATAATGGGCACACCTATGACACCTGTACCTTATCATCACCAAGTGAAACCCTTGAGTTCTGAACAAAAAGAATTAATCCACCGTCTAGTTTACTTCCAGGATCAATATGAAGCTCCTAGTGAAAAAGACATGAAACGTTTAACAATAAACAATGTATTTATTGATTTGATAATTTTTTCATAAACCCTAACCTTGATTATTATGCTTTACGGTTATTTATTTTTATAGCAAAATGTGGATGAGTTTGATGAAGAAAAACAAAGTGACACAACATATCGAATTATTACTGAAATGACAATTCTAACCGTTCAATTGATTGTTGAGTTTGCCAAACGATTACCAGGTTTTGATAAGCTTGTCAGAGAAGATCAAATAACTCTACTGAAGGTAACAGTTATTTTGAAAATGGATTAATTTTGTGAAAGAACTGAAATGTTAATTTCCTTGTTATAGGCTTGCTCGAGTGAAGCTATGATGTTTAGGGTTGCTAGAAAATATGATATAACTACCGACTCTATAGTATTTGCAAACAACCAACCATTTTCAGCAGATTCTTATAATAAGGCTGGTTTGGGAGGAGATGCCATTGAAAACCAATTATCATTTAGTCGGTTTATGTATAAGATGAAGGTGGATAATGCAGAATATGCTTTATTGACCGCAATTGTCATATTTTCAAGTAATTATATTTTATGTCTTTTATTGCCAATACATTAAATCCTTATAAACTAAAATTCATGCTTTACCAAACAGCATATGTATTTATGTCACAAAAATTAATTGAAATAAAAATTATGAATCATTTAAGACAGCGGTTCCCAATTCATGGGCCGTGAACTGCGAACAGGGTGGTACTAGGCCGTGAACCATATAATATTAAAATTATTAACGTATATTTTAAAGTATTAAATATCAGCAAATGAGGAAGTTGGTTGAACTTTCATAATATGATCAGACTCTAAAATCGTTTTTTAAAACCACTCTGTTATTACTATTCTACTTAAATATTCGACAAGACTATCCATCAATCTCTAAAATTGCACATAGAAACTTAATGGGCTTTATTTCGACAACCTGTGGGACTGTGTGAACGACCTTTTTCTACTTTAATTTTTTTAAAGATAAATACAGTAATAAACTGAATATTGAGAATGATTTAAAGCTAAAACTTTTCTGTTTTAATCCAAACATTGATTCTCTTGTGGAGTTCAGATATTTCAATAATCATATAAAATTATTTAATTCTTGAATAATGTTCAATGAAGTTTTTTTTTTATAAACAATAACATATATATAACTATTGGTGGGCTTCAAAAATATTTTACGAAATTGGTGGTCTGCACTTTAAAAAGATTGAAAACTGATTTAAATCATTTTTATATAAATATTTTTAATTTTTTGTAGTATTATGGAATTCTCTGTTTCCTAAAAAAAAATTAATCGTCAGACTGACTTGTATTGCTAATTGAAGCAGTATTATAAAATTATTATATTTAAACATATGATTCACCTGTCTTATTAATTTCTTACTTAACTTAATGACAAATTTTTGTTCAAAATATTAAGTACATATTATTGATAATTGTGATATTTTATAAAGTATACTATAATTCTATATTAAGTAGTTTTAAATATAATGGATAAATATGTTGTTTAAAATTTATAAATACAATTTATATTAATATTAATAATTTTTTTTATGTATAGGTAGACCAAACTTATTAGATGGTTGGAAAGTGGAAAAAATTCAAGAAATCTACTTAGAATCATTAAAAGCTTATGTAGATAATCGAGATCGCGATACAGCTACTATCAGATATGCGCGACTTCTCTCAGTACTTACAGAATTGCGCACATTGGGCAATGAAAACTCTGAACTATGTATGACACTAAAACTAAAAAACAGAGTAGTACCCCCATTCTTAGCCGAAATATGGGACGTCATGCCATAGTCAATTGCTTCAGCTAGTTACCTTGTACCTGGTTGCACTATTAGTGTTACTTGGTATTATTTTGAAGACTGTCAATATTTTTTGGTCATTCAGACCCCTGACAACCATAGGCAGACTTAGGTGAATATGTATAATTCTGAACATCTATTCGACTATTTGTTCTACTACTTCTTAGATAACTATTTCAATTTGGTTTTACTTATTTAAATATAAACAAATATATTGAAAATTTACTATCTAGCATGTCAGGTTATAATATTAATTTATGTGTTAGTTTTAAAAGCGCTTAAATAAAGTTATACATATTTAATGTTTGAAACTGTAGGTAAATTAGGAGTTGTTGTTAAACACCAGGAGTTTAGATAAAGTTTAACACTTAAACTGTTATGTTATCATTTTTAAATGCCTCCTAAATTATTTACTGGTAAACTTAATTTTTGACTAAGAACTTTAAACAGATTATTATTAACTATGAGGGTGCTATGTTGTTTCTTTGTTATCCTCGTGTGGTTTTTGAGACTGTACTGTTTTGTACCTGCGTGTTGGATGTTTTTATATATATACATATAAATGTTTATTAATAAGCCAATTAATTATATTATTAACAAATTTATATATATATATATATATATAAATATATATATTTTTTTTTTCCATGAAATGTAAGAAACATCATTTCTAATTGCGTAACCTGTGATATTAGATTTAAAATGTAGTATATGTTAAAAAAAAAAAAAATTTGTGTATACTAACATATTTTAGTTGATAAGCATAGAGCGTTTGTTGTAAACATGTACAAACATAGGTTCAGGGCTTAAGGTAATAATGGCACTCTTATGTACATAAGTATAATATTATTTTTTTATTTCTTATTATTATTCTTATTATTGTTATGCTTTCAAAACCTAAATGAGTAATTCTGTTAAAGGAAAGTATTTTATATCGAGTGTAGTGCATTACAAAAGTTAGAAACATTTTTTTATTTTATTTATTTATTTATTAATTTTTTTTTTATTTTATATATATTTTTTTTTTTAATAAAATTTTATGTATTTTAAATACAAAAACAAAATGACTAGTAAAAATGAAATAGCTATTATTTATGTGTGTTTGTGTGTGTATTGAGATGAAGACTGTAAACATCAACATTTTGATATTTATATTATTTTATTATTATTAATTTTTTAGACCAATTGTCTTCTAATTACTTTACTGATTTCTTTCTTAATGATCAATAACTAATAGGCCAATTATAATTATCCTTTATTACTTGTTAATTTTTAATAAAGGACTTACTTGATTTGATTCAAATCCTGTAAAAATAATTTTTCAAATTACATTTACTTCTATAAATAATTTTAAAAATATTATTATTTTTTGTGTTGTTTTATTGTTATTATCATCAAAACTCAATTTATGTATCCTACCAGTGCAATAGTTATCAAATTTTTTGAGTATTCATAGTTATTTTTTCAGGAAAAAGGAAGAAATTGGTATTCTAATAAAATACCAATTTTTCTTGGGTCATAAGTGTAATTGTTTGTTTTGAATATGTAGATGGAATAATTATACTATTTGTAAATTAAGGTAAACCTGGTGTTGTTTAATTTTTTTTTTTTTAGATTATTATTACTAAATTACTGTCCCAAAATATAGTAAATTTATTATTAGACAATTTTTGTTTTAAACCAATGCTCTCATTTACAGTTATGAGAAATTCTAAAGAACTAAATAATTTTTTATCCGTATTGGTATATTATTCTAATTTTTTCCCTCTAAATATTTGTCTATGTTATTATTATTTGTTTTTTATTACTACAGTCTTTATTATTTTAAATTACATTTGAGTGCATCCTTGGTATTTTTTAATTATTTTAATCTTCTAATAATAATATGAAAGACTAAACTAATGAGGGGAAAAGTTATAAAGCTCTTTTCCAAATGATTTAATTTGGATATTCCTACCTGATATAATATTTTTAAGAGATAGTTTATTTAATTAATAAATGAAATGATGTTTTTTACATTCTATTTATTTGTGTTGATATCTTAGTAAAAACTATGTCACTCGTAAATGCAAAAAAAAACCGCCCACTTATCAATTTTAATACAATTATATATTTATAATGTTATGTACAATTATGATTTTGTTTGTGCAAGTGTTAATTCTTAGAAAATTCAAGTGTAATTTTTATTACATTTTAATATTTTTTTTTGTAAAGAAATTTTTTTTAAAAATTACCATTGAAAAATGATCTTGTTCTTTTAATAGATATAAGAAAATGTATTGTCATTATTATTTTGACCATAGAAAATATAAATATTCAATGTTAATAATGATGATGTTTTACATACAACCTCTCTTATTTGTTTCCATTTATTCAGTGAAATATTTTTGACAATATTATAATGAATTAAATTGTCTGTTAAAATATTTGTATACTATATATATAAGTAGTAGATAACAATGTTTCAATAAAATCAATGTGGTCACTTTTGTCCAAATGCTTTTTATCTATTAATTAATCACAGACATAATATAAGTTTATAAATTATAATATAAAGAATATTGAACAAAAAAAAAAAAAAAAATGGTTTTAAATAAATTCAAAATGAAATCAATTTTTTCTACATCAGTTGTTTAGGTTATAATGTAATACATTTTGGTCTTATTTTATATTGGTATCACTGGTGCATATGTTTTAATTTTGAATGGAAACATTTAAAAATAAATATAAAACATTTTAAATGTTCATTTTTATTTAGATATGACTTTTCACTCGTAGAATTTCTAAATTCACTGCCCTTCTGAACATTTACACCGTATCTCAGTGCACTTGTACAGTTAATATTATGCCACACTGCCATTTTTTTTTTTTTTTGTACTTAAAAAAATGATTATATTTATATTATATAAATAATCTACAATTGATGTTTTATTATATTTGATATTGTCTCAAATAACACGTTATATAATAAATTACGTATTTTATTGTATTCCATAGTTTGTTTAGAATGCTATTTTGGAAAAAATAATTATTTTATGAATCAAAAATGGTAATTAGAATTTTTATACTTTTTGTTTTATATATAATTTTTATACCGTGTATATATTATATATAAACACAAAATACTTTCGTTAATTTGCTTTTTTAATAATGTTTTGATATTAGTGACAGTTCAGTTACATTATTTAATAATTAGTTATATCAATATAATAATATGTACTTTAGTAGATCAAAGGTGATTACTAGAGAGTTTCTATTATGTAAAGTTATAAAGCATTGTTTAGACAGTTTAAATTACATTATTCATGAGTAATTTTACTTTGTATAGTAAACATTGAGAATAAGTATGAAATTTGTATTTTATATTTGAAAGAGGAAGAGGGGAAGAAGGTGAATCAAAACAGATCAATTATAAATATTTGTAAGCTTAAGTTTTCTTAATTTTCTTACAATTGTATAACTTATATATGTCTATAAATTGTTTTTTGACTTTATTTATAATGAAAATAAATTCACCTTCATTACCCTCTGTACTTTTTATTTTCAATAATATTCGTTAATTGCACAACAATTAACAAATATATATATAAAAAAAAGTTTTTTGGTGCAACTCTATTGAGACTGATGTATAAAACAACTGATATGAAAGTTAATATGTGGCAGCGGTAAAAAAAAATGTTCATAACATAAATTAAAAAAACTATTGTTTCATGTTTCTCATTGATATTGTTATATTAGACAAAAAAAATTTAAAAAAACTGCTTAACCCTTTACGAGGTGAATTGTTTTTACATATTTGATTTTAAAAAACTTGTATCGATGTAAAGAAAAAAGTGTATGCTTATTTAAAACATTGTGCAGTGAAATTAGTGCAAGAATTGTTCAAATGTATAGGAAATGAACCTGGATACATTTTGTAAAAATAATTAAATAAAAAATAAAGGACTATAATTGTTTTAACATGTTTTATAGTTGTTTTTTATATATTATGTTAATGTATAGATTAGCAACACTATTTTGCTACGACTAATATGTTTTGCATTCAATCTGTGATATGCACTTTATATCTATCTGATATTAGCATAGTATAAAATTTGATATCAGAAATAATAAATTATACCAATCATAGCAGTTTAAGATTAACAAACAATATTTTCACTTTTTTGTCAAGTAAATGTTATCATTCATGGAGTGTATCTAATAATCACTTGGTAGCAGTGGGTCAACCAGGATTTCTTCAAAGGGGGGTGTCCCCCAGTGGTTTAATGTATATTATAATATAAACAGCTGTACAGTTATTTTATAAAATCTAATTTTTGTAGAATTTTGAATCACTATTATTTAATATTTATTATATTATCTTCAGGGATGTATTTAGGGGGAGGTGATATAGGTATTAAAACACCCTTCTTCGACCATATTTTAAGGTATTTCACCAAATTGCAAACTTACAGTATAATCAATGCCGTCCCGAAGATGAAAATCAAGGGGGGGGGATGAATAATATGAAAAATACCGACTAAAATTTTTTTACTCAATGTAAGTAGTATAATTAACTATATGTAGTCGTATTTTTACTTTTTAACATGTAGGTATACAATGTGTTCACTAATTTAGGGAACACTGAATTTCTCGGCCGGATTTGTTTGGAATAAATCGATTTTTTTTTTTTACAAACTGGTGGTATATGAATAAATTTTTCGATTCATTTCAAAATATTTTGAGAATTTTGTCTGCGTATGCGCAGTAACAACTTTTTTTTTTAAATAGCAACACCTATTTTTATCACCATATTCGGGTAGGCCTATTTTTTTTAAGTAATTTTCATCTATCAACTATGACTCTAAGTTCAATATTGACTGAATAAGAGCCATATCAATTTTATTAAATAAAACATTTTTTAAATTATTTTTAAACATATATAAAATCATTATAATTAATTCTTATTGGTTACTTTTTGAATATTTGTACGTATTTTTTTTTAGAAATGTTATAAGCAAGACTATCATAATATAGATACAAAATTATTTATTAAAAATTGACTAGGTACAATTAGTACAAGTAGACAATAGTTATTTTATAAAATATAAAGTTATCGAGGTTTGAAATAATTAGATATAATGTTAATTAGCACAGTTATTCAGATAATTTAATACTAAATAATTATAAGTTATAACAATAATAATATGCATTATTATTAGATGTATAATATCGATAAGCCATAAATTATACTTACCTATTAACTCGTAATTATAGATAGATTAAACTGTTTTGATTATAAATTTTATACTCTAAAACAGTGGTGGCCAAACTATGGCCCGCAGGCCAACTCCGGCCCGCCATCATTTAATATTTGGCCCGCGAAAGTCTTCTATATTACAGCACTTATTTGTATAACTGTAATATTTTGCATTTACGTAAAAAAAAATTTAGAATGCATTTTTTTATGGCCCGCGATAAAAAAAAAGTTGTTTTTTATGACCTGAGGAAAAAAAAGTTTGGCCACCATTGCTCTAAAACGTAGATAAAATGAATCATTTTTGTTTCGATTGTCATAGTGCGAAAATCATAATGTGATAGTTAGGTTAAAATGAACAACCAAGAAAAAGTGCAAATGCAATTTATGGTAAATGTTATAGAAATTCTCGTCAGTCAGCAAAAATGTATGCTGAATAATACCCAGGTCGGTTCCATCCACCACACATATTATTTATTAAAATAGGAAAATTATTGATTGACCACGGAGCATTTAAAAAAAAAAAGTTTTTACTGCGTATGTGCAGACCGAATTCTCAAAAAACTGAAATGTATTGAAAAATGTGGATTCATATTCCACCAGTTTGTGAAAATAAAATCGATTTATTCCAAACAAATCAGGCCGAAAAATTTAGTGTTCCCTAAATCGGTGAACACACTGTTATGTGTCAGTGTCGCACGTTCTTAAAATTGACAATTTAATTATATATATATACTATAATA